TGCTCACTGTACAGTAACCTAATATACTACCTGACAGTGGGAATAAGCAAATGAATAAGTAATAGAAATGTTGATGAATCATTATTTCTCAACTGAAATTGAGGTAATCTTGAAGGAAGGAGAAAAAAACAAAACTTGGAAGCCAAAATTTAGATGTGCCCCAAGGCTAAGCACATCATCAAAAGTCATCCCAGCTTCCCAGAAATGATCTCCAAAGAGAGAAATGTGGAGCCAAAAGTTTATAATGGTGTTGGCTTGAAAGAGTAAAACTGTTAAACCTACTGACTAGAGGGAAGCATAAGAGCTCTGCCTTAAAAAAAGATTAATTTGGCCGGGCGGTGGTTGCGCACACCTTTAATCCCAGCACTCAGGAGGCAGAGGCAGGTGAATCTCTGTGAGTTCGAGGCCAGCCTGATCTACAAGAGCTAGTTCCAGGACAGGAACCAAAAAGCTACGGAGAAACCCTGTCCCCTGTCTCAAAAAATCAAAAAGAAAGAAAGAAAGAAAAGAAGATTAATTTTTAAATCAAACAAGAAAAGATCCAAAGGGCTCCCCCTATCCAGCCTTGGGCTTTGGTTCGGGTGATCCTGACACCAAGAAGGTCAGGATCATGGGAAAATATGGGACCTGCTGTAGTACATCCCTCCAGAAAATGGTGAAAATTGATATCATCTCTCTTGCTCCTTTTGTGGTAAGACCAAGATAAAGAGACAAGTTGTTAGCATCTGGCACTGTGGTTCTTACATGAAAAGTAGCTGGTGGAACCTGGACCTACAACACCACACCTGCTGTCACAGTCAAGCTACCATCAGAAGACTGAAGGAGCCAAAAGACCAGGAGAAATGCTACCATTTGAGATTGCCTATCCTGCAATGAATGGGTAAATTCAAGCCAAAAAATAATCCAATTTTTTTTCTCCTTTACAAACCAACTTGGTGACGTGCTATGGGACAATTGTTTGTCAATTCTCTTTTAATAAAATACTGATTGGCCAGTAGCCAGGCAGGAAGTATAGGCAGGTCAATGAGAACAGGAGAATTCTGGGAAGAAGGGAGTCCTAGTCCATAGTCGTGACCCAGCCACAGAAGAAGCAAGATGTGACTGCCTTGCCAAATAAGGTACTGAGACACATGGCTAACATAGGTAAGAATGATGGGCTAGTATAAGTTATAAGAGTTAATAAGAAGTCTGAGTTACTAGGCCAATCAATTTATAATTAATGTAGACTTCTGTGTGATTTCTTTGGGACTTAATGACTGTGGGAACTGGACAGGACAGAAACCTCAGAGAACAGAAAAGCACCCACATGGACATCTGCATCCACATAAAGCCTGAGAAAGTTTGGGAAGTAATTCTCGACAAAAAATAGGCAAGAATAATGGACTAATATGAGTTATAAGAGTTAATAAGTCTGAGCTACTAGGCCAATCAGTTTATAACTAATGTAGACTTCTGTGTGATTTCTTTGAGATTCAATGACTGTGGAAACTGGGCAGGACAGAAACCTCAGACAACAATGACCAGATGGTTTCAGCTCAGAATTCTACAAGATTTTCAAAGAAGAACTAATACCAATACTCCTCAAATTATTCCACACGATAGAAACAGAAGGAACATTGCCAAACTCGTTTTATGAGGCTACAATTACCCTGATACCCAAATGACACAAAGACATTACTAAGAAAGAGAATTATAGCCCAATCTCACTCGTAATATTCAATATAATATGGAAAATATTAAATAAAATACAGGGAAATCGAATCCAAGAACACATAAAAATGATCATCCACCATGATCAAGTTGGCTTCATCCCAGAAATGTAGGGATGGTTCAACATATAAAAATCTGTCAATGTAATCCACTATATAAACAAACTGAAAAATAAAAACCATATGGTCAGCCGGGCGATGGTGGCACACGCCTTTAATCCCAGCACTCGGGAGACAGAGGCAGGCGATCTCTGTGAGTTCAAGACCAGCCTGGTCTACAGAGCTAGTTCCAGGACAGGCTCCAAAGCCACAGAGAAACCCTGTCTTGAAAAACCATAAAAAACAAAAAAAACAAAAAAACCATATGGTCATCTCATTAGATGCTGAAAATACCCTTTGACAAAATACAACATCCCTTCATGATAAAAGTCTTGGAGAGACCAGGGATACAGGAACATACCTAAACATAACAAAGGAAATATACAGCTAGTCAACAGCCAACATCAAACTAAATATAGAGAAAATCCCAGCAATCCCACTGAAATCAGGATAGAAAGCATAGCATCATTAGTAGATTACTTAATGAACCAAATATTATATGATTCTAGAACTTGTTTTATAAACTTGCTAACAAGATTTCTTCTCTTAACCTCCTGGGGGAAGCTGGAGAGTCAGTGATGCAAAGACATACACAATTACATAGCAAGCTCGAGCCAGCCTGGGCTACATAAGACCTTGTCTCAAAACAGCTAACCAACCAAACAAGACCATTTGAAAAAACAAAACACCCAAGCATGCCCAGGAAAATTACGATAAAGCCTCTCTTTTTTTCTGGTCCACAATAAAACTTAATTCTGAAAGTGTGCAATGTATTCATGTAGGCACAGGCAACGCAAATCATCAAATAAACAATTTTCTATCCATTGTGCACATGATTTTACCTGCTTATTGCCAAAATGGAATTGTGATTGATTATCTTAGTCACTCTCCTTTGAAGAGACATCATGACCAAGAAAACTCTTATAAATAAAAGAAAGCAAAATTTAATTGGGGACTTGCATACAGTTTCAGAGGCTTAGTCCATCATGGCGGGGAGGATGACACTGGAGTAGCTGAGATCTACATTCCAATCCTTAAGCAGAGAAAGACACTGAGCCCGGGTCTTTGAAACCTCAAAACCCATCCCCAGTATCACACTTCCTCTAACAAGTTCACACCCTCTTCAATCAAGCCACACCTCCTAATACTTCTCAGATGTCACTCCCAGGTGACTAATGAACTTGAGTTTATAGAGGCCATTTTTATTCAAACCACCAATGACTTAAACCCTTTCTCTTAAAGCTTATTATTGTGCACACATGATGTATGTATATAAATGGAGGGACTGTACGCCACAGGGCATATGTGGAAGTCAATGGTCAGTTCTGTGTAACTGGTACTTTTCATCTTTTCTTTCTGGTGTTAGAACTCATGTTGCGGGCTTACAACTGCATGTACCTTTAACAGCAGATCCACCTTACTGCTGCCCGCTTTTCTTTAATGAGATGGTGCCTTGCTTTGTAGCCAAGATGAGCCTTAAACTCTTGAACCTTGGCCTCCCAAGTAGGACTACAGGTACATGCATCACACTCAGCTTGATTCATGCATATGCAATGTATGTATGTGTGCATGAATGTGTATGTCTGCATGTGTGTAAAGGTCAAAGAACAACTTCAAATGTCATTTCTAGGACCTGTTCATCTGTTTTTAAGTCAGGCTTTCTTGCTAGGCTGGAAGCCACTGGGCCTTAGGGCTCTACCTCTCTCCACCTTCCCAGCAATGAGAATACATGTGCCACCATGCTTAGCTTTGGCACATGGGTTATGAGGCTCAAACTTGGGTCCTTGTTTACAATGAAAGGATTTTACCAACTGAGCTACCATCTCTCCCCTGATTCATACTGCTTGAAGGAGAACTTACATAAATTCTGTAAAAATTCATAACCAAGAACTAGGATAGGCTGAGATAGTTTTCTCAAATATTCATGTGTAAGGTTCATCTTTTTAAATAAGTTAAAATAATCTACTACTAACTAGAAACATGACAATGTGAAATTTTGCTTCATTTGATTATTCACAGGAGAATACAAAGTTAATCCTGTTGTCATGGCCTAGCATCAATCAAGTAAGATGTCTACTGTTACTTTAACAGGACCTAAATTGGGTATCATGGAAACCCCAGATGAATAAACACACACACACACACACACACACACACACACACACACATCCTCTGCACACAGAGAAACACTCCTTTAGGGTAGGAATGGGATCAAAGAAATCCAAAGTAAAATGCAATCACAAAAAAAGGTTAGACCGATTTCTAGAGGCCAGGGGCTCTGGAAAGTTGCATGAAGACAGAATTTAAGGGCTTTGGGGTGGGGATGTAGCACAATAGCAGAGCACCTGCCTAGACTGTATGAAACCCCGGGTTTGGTCTGTTGAACCACAAAAATTTAACAAGAACCTTGGGAAAATCTTCAGTAGAGTAGAACTGAGCAGTACAAACAAGGGCATGCCACCAGGAAAACAAGAAGGGTAGGCGTCAGATAGTGTGATGGTAACTGGGAAGAGGGAGGCAGGTGGGGGACACTGGCGAGGTCTACCAGGGCAAGCTTTAGACATCATCAATACTAAACAATGACAATCACTCAAGTTGGTTGTTAAGAAAATGAAAATTCAATATACTATAAAAGATACTTCTACCAGTTTATAAAGAAATGGCCAGAATAAAAAATGGTCTTGGATTTTGCTTATTTTCTTAGAGAGTCTCTGTGCAGTGCTGGCTAGGTCTGGAACTTGCTATGTAGACCAGGCTAGCCTTGAATGATAGAAATCTTCTTGCCTCTGCCACTTGAGTGCTGAGATTAAAGACATGTATCTGCTCAGTTTTGTTTTGAGACAGAATCTTTGTATAGCCTGGCTGTCCTGGAACTCATTCTGTAGACCAGGTTGGCCTTGAGCTCAAAGATCTGCCTCTCTGCCTCCAAAGTGCTGGGATTAAAGGGGTTTGCCACCACTGTCCAGCCTAATTTGGATTTTTAAATGCCTTAATTTAAATAAATGTTAAATGTTCATTTTTATCAATAAGTCAATCTTTAATTTTTCTAAATTCTGTTACTTATGGATGATGAATCTTTTCTACTTTGAATTTCAAGTACAACAAGACTGATGTTTCAATTTAATACCATCTTGGGAGAGGCATCCTATTTCCTATTTAAGTAGTTAACTGAAAAAGAAATCCAAAATAAACTCATTATAAAAATATTTTTTAATCCCAAACTGGAATATTAACATTTAGAAAGTCATTTCCAACAATATTCACCAAAAACGCTTTTGTGTTTTGTTTTGTTTTCTGAAATTTTCAAGATAGAGTTTCTTTGTAGCTTTGGAGTCTGTCCTGGAACTTGCTCTGTCAACCAGGCTGGCCTCGAACTCACAGAGATCTGCCTGCCTCTGCTTCCTGAGAGTTGAGATTAAAGGCATGTGCCACCACTGCTTGGCTATTTACTGTAGGAATAAGCTTTTAAAGTAGACAGATGCTTCTTCCCAACTTTGGGGCTATAAAAAAGGGTAAAGAGTCCTGATGAAAATCATTAATATCAAATCAAATTCTCATAAATTCCTGTGGTTAAAAATATCCATCTGGATAGATCAAGACAGAGACAGCAAGTGGGTGCCTGCCCACTCCTTCCCCATTATGTGACCAAACTGCACTTGAAACATATACAACAGGCGTTCGCAGGGGAGGCACACCATGAGACCTCAGCAAATGGTTTAACTCTGAGTCTTCACTATCAAAACTAATGACCTAGTATTAGTTACTTCCAAGATAGTCAGTCACCAGTCACTATCCTAACAATAGTCAGAAAGTTATTACAGGGGCTGCTGCCTGCGTGGAAAGAGGGGATGCCTATGCCGCGGACCAAAGGCACGACTGAAAAACTACCTCACAGGAGCGCAGATGTTAACAGGAAAAGGCAGTTTGTCTGAGAGCATGAGATGAATGTTTTAGAGAGCCAGGGCTAATAAAATCACCTACCAATTGCTTTATGACTAAAGCAGCTTAGGTCCGCTTCCGGAGAAGGAAAAATGATTGTGTAGCTTTGGGAAACATACTGGTCACATTTTCATTTAGTGCTTGATCAAAATCTAAAATGTAAGCCAGGTGTAGTGGCGCACACCTTTAATCCCAGTTCTCGGGAGGCAGAGGCGTGCAGATCTCTGAGTTCAAGGCCACCCTGGTCTAGAGTGAGGTCTAGGACAGCCAGGGCTACACAGAGAAACCCTGTCTTGAGAGGGAAAAAACAAAAACAAAATTCAATGTTTTGCATCTATACAAAAATACAATTTGCCTTATGAGTTTCTAGGAATAAACTGTGAGGAAAAATAAACACTTCATGTTTCTAATGGTTTCCCTAGTACCTGCCACTTCTGTCTGGGAAAATATGCATGGAATTTAATGTTAAACTTCAAATTTATTCTTTTTCCACCCTATTATTTTTTAAGCAACAGGCATTAAACAAGCTAGTAATTAGGGGTAGTAGGATTAAAAAATTCCTCAAGCCATGTTTCTATGTAGGAGCTTCATCAAAGTATCTGGCATTAACCAGCCTTGGTGCAACACGCCTGTAATCCCAGCACTCAAGAAGCGTGAGACAGGGAGATCTCAAGGTCAGGCCAGCCTTGACTATGCCTGTCTCAAAAATGTAAAGAAGAAAAGATGAAAGAGAAAAATGTGTGGCATATCTTATAAGAAAAATGGAAATCTGCTTTTATTTCAGGGTGTGTATGTATATTCTGAGGATTAAACCCAAAGCCTCATATATGCTAACTAAACATGTCCCAGGTTTGATTTTGTAGCTATAAGTGGTTGGCAACTGTTTCCTTAATAGTTATTGCAGGAGTAGGTCCAACATGAGTCCATATGTAGCCCTTCTCTGGTCTGGTGGGAACCGTAGGAAATGGTGATGACCTTGACTTGAAATACTCAGAAGGTGCGTGGCAGACAAATTCCAGGTATTCCATCTTCCTTGGAAGATCTTCCTCTGGCCCTAAGAGGCAGCCAATGGAAAAGTTAAACACAGTTTTGAACACATTTCATTTTTATGAAATGTTAGCATTCTCAGACACTAAGAGGAAGCACTCAGGATGCTACCCCTTGACATTAACCCTTGGAACTATTTCTGAAGGTTTTGAAGTCACACTCCACCGTTTACTGCAGATGATTAAGGAAAACAGCGTCCTACAGTACTGAATATTCCCGGTTTATGAAGCCAATGCTGCCCTAGGTACTTTCTATCCACCCACACTAATTCCTCACAACGTCCTGATGGGCACTGGTTTTTCCTATTTTACATGTAAGTACAATAAGGAAAGACAGATTAAGGAACAGTGAAGTGGAGGGGCTAGAAAGGCCAGCAGTCTAACTTCTGAGCTTGTGCTAGACTTTCCCACCATGTGACATCACTGTAGTGCACAGAAGACTCTCAGACTTTGGGGACCATGAAAAGCAAGTGAGAGAGGAGCCCAGAATGATTCAGAACATATTGGCTTCTGCTGGTTCCATACTTATGGGCACAGATATGTCTGTCACATAACCAGTTTGGCATACAATTAAGAATATCAGTGGGTCATTGTTTTTTACCGCAGCGTAGTACTCTAATGTGTAGATATTCCACACTTTCTTCATCCATTCCTCCATTGAGGGGCATCTAGGTTGTTTCCAGGTTCTGGCTATTACAAATAATACTGCTATGAACATAGTTGAACAAATGCTCTTGTCATATGATAGGGCATCTCTTGGGTATATTCCCAGGAGTGGTATTGCTGGGTCCAGGGGTAGGTTGATCCCGAATTTCCTGAGAAATCGAAACACCGATTTCCAAAGTGGTTGCACAAGATTGCATTCCCACCAGCAATGGATGAGTGTACCCCTTCCTCTACAGCCTCTCCAGCAAAGGCTATCATTGGAGGTTTTTATTTTAGCCATTCTGACAGGTGTAAGATGATATCTCAATGTTGTTTTGATTTGCATTTCCCTGATCGCTAAGGAGGTTGAGCATGACCTTAAGTGTCTTTTGGCCATTTGAACTTCCTCTGCTGAGAATTCTCTGTTCAGTTCAGTGCCCCATTTTTTAATTGGGTTAATTAGCATTTTAAAGTCTAGTTTCCTGAGTTCTCTATATATTTTGGAGATCAGACCTTTGTCTGTTGCGGGGTTGGTGAAGATCTTCTCCCAGTCAGTAGGTTGCCTTTTTGTCTTGGTGACAGTGTCCTTTGCTTTACAGAAGCTTCTCAGTTTTAGTAGGTCCCATTTATTCAATGTTGCCCTTAAAGTCTGTGCTGTTGGGGTTACACATAGGAAGCGATCTCCTGTGCCCATCTCCTGTAGGGTACTTCCCACTTTCTCTTCTATCAGGTTCAATGTGTTCTGACTGATAGTGAGGTCTTTAATCCATTTGGACTTGAGTTTTGTGCATGGTGATAGATATGGGTCTATTTTCATTCTTCTACAGGTTGACATCCAGTTATGCCAGCACCTTCTTGCATGCAAATGGATGGAAATAGAAAACACTATCCTGAGTGAGGTAACCCAGACACAAAAAGATGAATATGGGATGTACTCACTCATAATTGGTTTCTAGCCATAAATAAGGGTCACGGAGTCTACAATTGGTGATTCCAAAGAAGCTAAGTAAGAAGGTGAACCAAAGGAAAAACATATAGTTGTCCTCTTGGCTATGGGAAGTAGACAAAATTGCCGGGGAGAAAATTGAGATCTTGGGGGTGGGGTGGGATGGGGGTAAGGGGAGATGGGGAGAGAAAAGGGAGAAGGAGAGAATGGGGGGAACTTGGGGAAAAAGGAGGATTGGGATAAAGGAAGGTAGGATAGGGGAGCACGGAAGCACAATTCTTAGTTAAGGGAGCCACCTTAGGGTTGGCAAGAGACTTGAACCTAGAGTGGCTCCCAGGTGCCCAAGCCGAGGTCCCCAGTTAGTTCCTTGGGCAGCTGAGGATAGGGAACCTGAAATGACCCTATCCTATAGCAATACTGACGAATATCTTGCATATCATCATAGAACCTTCATCTGGTGATGGATGGAGATAGAGACAGAGACCCACACTGGAGCACTGGACTGAGCTCCCAAGGTCCCAATGAGGAGCAGAAGGAGGGAGAACATGAGCAACGAAGTCGGGACCACGAGGGGAGCTGATCTAATGGGAGCTCACTAAGGCCAGCTGGACTGTGACTGAAAAAGCATGGGATAAAACTGGACTCTGAGCATGGCGAACAATGAGGGCTGATGAGAAGCCAAGAACAATGGCACGGGGTTTTGAACCTATGCAATGTGCTGGCTTTGTGGGAACCTAGTCTGTTTGGATGTTCACCTTCCTAGAAATGGACGGAGGGGGGAGGACCTAGGACTTACCACAGGGCAGGGAACCCTGACTGCTCTTTGGACTGGAGAGGAAGGGGAAGAGGAGTGGGGGGAGGGGGAGAAGGGTGGGAGGAGGGGGAGAAGAGTGGGAGGAGGGGGAGGGAAATGGGAGGCTGGGAGGAGGTGGAAACTTGTATTTTTTCTCCTTTTCTCAATAAAAAAGAAAGTTAAAAAAAAAAGAATAACAGTGGGATATTAGCTATCCTTGGAGTTCTCACTAAAAGAAATGTCTCTCCTTTGGGATGCAAAAGAAATGCATGCCCATTACAGAAAGAATAAACAGCACAGAATAATTAAAGAAAACTGAACACTCAGAATCATGCTAGCTAGTCATTTATCGAGTATTATTTGTATTTTATCTTTTGAATGATCAACTGAGTATAGTGTGCTACTTCAACCATCAATGATTGTTCTTAAATAATAAAATGCTGTGTAGAGGGGACATATTCTAAGAATTTAGTTTTTAGAAATAAGTAAGATATTTCTTTTAGAAATCATTTTTGAGTAATTTTATAGGTAACCTATATAATTTAGGTTCTTGTGTAATTCCTTTCATACAATGTAGGCCTGGGTCACACAGACAAATCTTACACATATATTCCAGTCAGTACACTGTGTTCTAACCCACACTAACAAGACAGTCAAATACCAACTATACATAATGCCTACAATGCTCTCTACTCTGTTGTACTTACTAATATTTACATTTTCTATTCTGATTAAACTGTGTTCTCAAGTCTCTAAATTCATATGCTGATGGTCTGTCTTTATATGTTATGTGCTGAAGATGCAACCATCAGACAGGTCAAATAAAGCCAGAAGAGTGGGCCCCCTCAACTTTAGACAAGGAGCTCCAGGCAACTAAGAGTACCGAGAGTGAGAGAGTTGGTCACGGTGTTTCCTCACAGCAACAGAACAGTAACCCCTATCCCGCCCCACATTTGGTCATCTACTACCAAGTGGTCAGTCCTGAGATCACAGGACTAAAGTAACAGGAAACAGACTGAGTAGGTTGTATTTATGTATTTAGGAATATACATTAATATACATAGCAATTAAATAATTAACAATAAAAAAGTAGAGTCATGAATTTGAGAAAGACTGGGGTGAGGTACATGGGAGATCTAGAGGAAGGAAAGGAAAAAAGAATATAATTGTACTTTAATTAAAATTGTGAAGGATTATGGGAGCCAGAGAGCTCAAGGACATCACAAGTAAACCCACAGAATCATCTATCCTGGTCTCATAGGGGCTCACAGAGACTAAACTGTTAACTAGAGTTTGCATAGGACAGACCTAGGCCTTCTGCACATATGTTACAGTCGTGTAGCTTGGTTTTCTTGCAGGACTCCTAACAGTGGGAGCAAGGATTGTCTCTGACTCTATTATCTGCTTTTGGGACTCTTTTTCCTACTATGTTGCCGCATCCAGCCTTAATAGGACAGGACGTGCCTAGTCTCATTGCAACTTGTTATGACATGGCTGACTGATAACAATAGGAGGCCTGCCCTTTTCTGAAGAGAAAAGAAGAGGAGTGGATGGGGGCTGGGGTTGGTGGGAGGGATTGAGAGGAGAGGAGGGAGGGAGGGGAAAATTGTGATTGGGCTGGAAAAAAATTAATTAATAAATAATAATAATAAAGTAGATCCCTATCTCCTAAGACTAATGCCCTTCAATGAGGGAGCCTGCATGGGACTGACCCTAGGCCCTCTACATATAAGTGACAGTTATGTAGGTTATTCTTCTTGTGAGACTCCTAACAGTGGAAGCAGGGGTTGTCTCTGACCTTTTGCTGGCTTTTGGGACCCTACTCCTCATACTGGATTGTCTTGCCCAGCCTTAATACATGTGGAGGAGCTAGTCCTACCACAACTTGATATGCCAAGCTTTTTGATATCCACAGGAGGACTGCTCTTCTTGAACAGAAATGCAGTAGGAATGGATGAGGGGTATGCAAGGTTGGAGTCTAGGGAGAGAGGGAGGAGGAGGGAGGGGAAACTGTGATCAGGATGTAAATTAAATGAAGTAATTAATAAATTAAAAAAAAGCAAAAAAAAGAAAGAGAGGGTGACAGGCAGCAAACAACTAAGCTCATACATGTGTCCCTCTATGATAACAGATAGTAGAATACTATTTTACAATGAAAACAAACAAATGTGGCAAGATGTTTTTATAAAACCATGATTACATTTAAAAATAAAATATTCTTTTTTGGTACTTGGGGTGGGGGAGGAGGCTGGTGTCCTTAAATAAATGGTAATGGAGAGCTCTCTTTCAATGTACACACACAGGCACACATCTTAACAGGCCTTGCTCTGACTTCCAGCCTTCAGAAAAGCTTGTAGCATTCTGCTATGACAGCTCGCAGACTAACACATTCCTTTATAAAACAGAGGAATTAACTAAATTTAAGAAGCTGTGCCATTTACCTATTATATAGGACGCAGGATCAAACTGGTCTCTGGGGCTAGCCAGCGTGGGAATGAGCCACGTCAGTGCGGCGCTCTTTTCACAGTACTGGTCCTGAACAAAACCCCTGATCTGAGCATAGTACTCCTTCCCATCCTGCTCGTCAATCACAGAAACAACATCACCAATCTGGTAGTATACTCCCTGGAGGGAAGAGAAGGTAAACTTGTATTTAAAATAGTAACAGATCACAACCATTAACAAAGTTTCATTAATCAGCAAGCAAAATTTCAAAGTAGAAAAAAAAAATCAGGTCTGAGCACATTATGTTGACACTTGCTTCACTTCTCAATGAAAAAAGTTATTAAAAATAATAATACACACACATATATGACAATTTGCAACAAGGGAAGTATTTCTTCATATAAATTCTTTTATTTTTGTATTATGAAAATACTACCTCTACTTTTAAAAGAAAAGACTTCACTTTTAGGAATGATTTTGAATTCACAACAAAATCACAGAAGGTAGAGCTAGGGAATCTCCCCTAGTCTCCTTACCTGGTACATATAAAGCATCTTCCATTATCCATGTCCCCGTTATTAGAGTGAATCACTTATGGCAACTGATGCACCTACACACGTCACGATACAAACATCATAAATTAACTCTACTCTTGGTAATCTGTGGGCTCGGGACATGTATAACATGGATTCTTAGGATCGCATCATTGAGTACTTTCACTGATGTAAAAATCCTCTATACTAACCCTACTTTAAAAAAAAACAACAGCCATTAAGCCGTAGAAAACTTATTGCTAAAGTCCACATAAGGCAGAAACTGCAAACTATGCACCTACACTAAGTAGCTTAGTGATTTTTCCTGTGCTACCTTAAACATCAGCATTTGCTTGGTGAGACACATTGCCCTCCCCAGTTGTCTATTCAAAGAAAATAAATAAGGTAAGCTCAGTCCAAAAGAAATGAAAACCTTTTTTTAAATTATAATCAGCATTCAGGATGTGTTTACCCTCAATTACAACACATTTCCCAACAACATGACTATGACATGTTCATTTCCTGTTCTACTTTCTATCCAACCAATCTGCACAACTCTCCCAGGCCTCCACTACCCATCCCAGGTCCTCTGCCCTACATCTTGAACTTGAAAAATTTCACCTTTGAATATCCTTCGAATTTTATGATCTGTAGAACTTTCCTTAAGTGTGTGTAGTCCTCAACTGTAGGAACAATGTGTGTTTTCCTTGAAACAAGGCTTTGGTAGCAGTCAAAGCTGCTAAGATACATGAAATTTAACCATAAAAAAATTCCAGCAACTCAACTGCAACCTGGGCATCTGACAGAGCAGGGATTCTCCTCGTGGATGCTCGTTCATGTGTCTGAGGTGACTCACTGCTTACTGGTTCAATGCTATTGTCAGCTGATCTTTCCCTGCCCTACTACTCCAAGGTTCTAGCTACTTATCAGATAAAGTTTATGTCTGTCATCTGCTATATTCATATATAAAATTTCCCCCAAATTATAAAATTATATTTGTTTATCACAGGTACTCAGATATATGCTGAATATGAATTACAAATATGTAACAGTGTGAAAATAGAGCTATGATGCCAAGATAAGGTGTTAGTGAAAAGTTTCAATGACAAGTACTATTTCCCCCATGAGGTCTGTACAGCAGTCTCCCCTTATGCCGGGCATACATTCCAATACCCAAATTCCCTAAATGATTGTTTATGTTTATTTACATTTAAAGGGAAATATGCTACAGATATGAATAATTTGCATTGGTATGAATCTTGGTTTATTGATACAAATTTAAGGTCAATTCTGATATATGTATATTTTTTGTTCTTGATTAAGGTATTGTGTTTGTGCAGCTCAATTAAAAATGTAATGTATAATTTAAAAATATAGGTTAATAGTCATCTGTAATAGTCATATAATAGCTTGTAGTCATGTTAGTTAGTTTTCTAGATTATATATATATATATATATATATATATATAGAGAGAGAGAGAGAGAGAGAGAGAGAGAGATATTTCAGTTAGACAGGTATTCTTCAAATCTTTCAGAGACCTTAAGAATATGGCACTTAAAATATTTTAGTAACTTAGGACTTTTCATGACCGTGAAATACATCTGCTCCTGGCAGTACCAATTACTTCAAGAGGAAGATGGACATCAAAGAGGCTCCTCATGGAGTTTGCTAGCCATTTGGGCAAGAAACTGCTCTTGCCTGAACTGCTTGATGTATTATGCTGTATGAACTGGACATGCAGGACCCACAGAAAAATGACTGCTGAACTTGCCTAAAGGTGAGACTGTCCTTCAGGGTTCCTGCTTCATGAAAGAGTCTGCCAGACATTCTGCAGGACACAGAAGAAAGTGACTGACAAACTACCAATATAGGTGAAACTGTCTTTGAAATTTCTTGCTTCATGGAAAAGTCTGCTGGACACTATGGGCCTGTAGGCTGAAGATGGATGTCCCAAAGGTACAGAAGAACTTTGGGTGACTGTCCAGGCAGTGAGATGTCTCTGTCATTTCTAGAGTTTTAAAAGTTGCTTACAATACAATTTCTGTTTACTTAGGTAATATTATATCCTTCTGGGTCTTTGATGGAGTTGAAGAATAGATATAGTTTTCCTTGGTTATGATAAAAGATAAAGTAGATATAAATACTGTACCTGTAATTCTTGCTTGATAACTATTTTGTTATATGTAATTTTACTATGCTAAAGTTAAAACCTTCCTTTTTATTTAATCAGAAAAGGGGAAATGGTGTGGAAAGTCTGGTGTGGGAGGTCTGTAGGGGAAGCCCAGCCAATCACCTTGCTTGAAGGGCAGGATCCCCTGAGGATATTATTTACTTATAAATATTGCAGGTGTGCTCCCCGCCTTCCCTTCTGTTTTCCTGCTCTCCGTTGGAACCTCGGTTTTGTAAGCTCTCCCCTTCTTCCCCTTAATAAAGCTGATATTAAAGCTAGCCTGATTAATCCTATTTGCCGGTCGTTTACGCCCCTACAGAGGTCCTTTTGTCTATGTGTTGCTTTTATTGGTTAATGAATAAAGAACTGGCTTGGCCTATAGCAGGGGAGAAGGAAGACAGAGTTAGAGGGACAACATGGAGCCGCCGCCAGAGTCAGACATGTTGAAACTTTGCCAGTAAGCCACAACCACGTGGTAATACACAGATTAATAGAAATGGGTTAAATTAATATGTAACAGCTAGCCCATAAGAAGCTAGAGCTAATAGGCCAAGCAGCGCTTTAGTTAATATAGTTTCTATGTGATTATTTCAGGAGTCTGGGAGGCTGGGAATGAACAAGTGGCTTCCTAGAACAGGGCTCCAGCTTAGCTTGGAATCTCACACTGATCTCTTGATCAAACGGTGTTTGATTATAGAAAGAACAAGTAGGACATCTCTTTATAATGTCCTTAGCTTGTTGCCATGTAATAGGAAATTCTTTCTTTAGGCCTTTACTATTGACATGATGCTTTTTATGAAATTCTGAGGCCTGCAACACGCTTCCAATTAATAATTGATCAACCTCAGCGTTACCTTGTGATAGAGGACCAGGCAGACCTGTATGGGACCGGATGTGTGTTATGTACATCGGACAAAGCCTATTCCTGATTATGTCTTGTACCTGGATAAACAATGAAGTCAACTCTGTGTCATCTGGTATAAATTCAGCAGTTTCAATGTGCAAGATAACTCTTTCTGCATATTGTGAATCTGTAACTATATTAAGAGGTTCTTTAAAATCCCTTAGCACCATAAGAATGGCATATAATTCTGCCTTCTGGACAGAATTATAAGGGCTTTGTTCCACTTTACTCAATTCATCTGACTTGTAACCTGCTTTTCCTGATTTATTTGCATCAGTATAGAACGTACAAGCTCCAGTTGTTGGAGCATCACGTACAATTCTAGGAAGAATCCAAGAAGTTCTCTTTATGAGGTTAAGTCTACTACTTTTGGGATAGTTGCTATTAATTTCTCCCAAAAAATTAGCACAAGCTCTTTGCCATGGTTCATTGTCTTCCCATAACTTTTTTATTTCTTCAGAAGTAAAAGAAACTTGCTACCATGATATCAGCTCTTTAGTGAGAGTGTCCACAATGCTGGCTACCTGCAACATTACTTGAATATTTTGCTGTATTTTGGTCTTACTATTTAATAAACATAACAATAGATAATGATAAGAAAAGACTGATCCTTGCAGTAACAACTCCCACATACTTTTTCTGTTAACACACACATAGAAATCACTAGTACACTAAGTTTTTACCTTCTAGACTTAACCTATACACCATATGAACCACTGGAGAAGTTCTACACAAATTTGAAGTTGTGATGATGAGTATTTGTACCATTCATTGACTTTACTAAATGTTTAACATTCTTAGTCTCAGAAAATAATTACTACTTACAATCTTTATTTTTTTCAGATAACCACCTGCCACGGTAATGGAGCCAAGATCTGATTCCTGGGCTTAGGTTCTAGTACCATTCTGCCTCGCTCCATGACTTACCAGCTACACTATCTCGGATAAGCTAATTAATCTCTCTATAGTCAGTGCCTTTATCCACAAAATGAGGAAAACAGTATTCACCCCAGAGGAGAATGAATGAAATAAAACACTTAAAATGTTCCTCACTGTCCAACCCATAAGATGCATGCTTGTGTGTGCAAGCATTTGAGCATGTGCACACACACATTCACCTTATGATTTAACAATTAACAACATACTAAATTCTAGAAATATAGGAAAAATTCTGGCTTATGATATAGTGGCATATTATTTGTGTTTTATTAAATAAAGCTTGCCTGAAGATCAGTGCAAAGCAGCCACACCCGTCAGCCATACAGGCCAAGCAATAGTCACACACACCTTCAATCCCAGCAGCCACACTAGTTAGCCATAGAGGCCAGGCAATAGTCACACACACCTTCAATCCCAGCAGCCACACTAGTCAGCCATACAGACCAGGCAATAGTCACACACACCTTCAATCCCAGCAGCCACACTAGTTAGCCATACAGACCAGGCAATAGTCACACACACCTTCAATCCCAGCAGCCACACCAGTCAGCCATACAGGCCAAGCAATAGTCACACACACCTTCAATCCCAGCAGCCACACCAGTCAGCCATACAGGCCAAGCAATAGTCACACACACCTTCAATCCCAGCAGCCACACTAGTTAGCCATAGAGGCTTTAAAGAATCCCAGCACTAGAGAGGAAAGACGGGGGAGACAGGTCTCACTCTCAGTCTCAATCTGAGGCTTCGTGGAAGCAGGATCACTCATTTTCGGTCTGCCGTAGAGGTAAAAGCCAGTGGCTGGCTGCTTCACTTTTCTGATCTTTGGGTTGAATTCCAATATCTGTCTCTGGATTTTTATTATTTGTGCTACACTATGACCGACCGCCTTTTTTTTTTTTTGATTAAAACATGTGTGAACTAACAAAAATAAATACACTTAAAGGTCAAACCATTTGAGTACCATGAGGAATTTGGTCCAGTTGGGTTAGGTACAAAAGCAAGTACCGTCTCACTACTGAGTCCAGCATGACAGTTCAGAACCTCAAATACCAAAGATACTGATTGCTGCCTATGCTAGGCCTGGCGGCCTTGAAGGCCTTTTCTATGTTCTAACTCCTAATAAGATGTCACATCCATCACTGGTGTCACGGCTATCACTTTGGCCCAAGGCAAGACCTTACTTTACCAACTAAAGATACCTTTGTTCAGATTTTCATCTTTTGTGTATGGGTGTTCTAACAGCATGGAAGTTTGTATACCATATGTGTGCCTGGTGCCCAGGGAGGCAAGAAGAAGGCTTTAGAACCCGTGTAACTGGAATTACTAATGGTTGAGAGCTGTCATGTGGGTGCTGAGGATTGAATCTGGGTCCTCTGGAAGAGCAGCCAGTGCTCTTAATTGAGTCATCTTCTTTCTATCCCAACCTTTAAAAACTTTTCTTCTTTTTACTGAAAACAGATCCATCCAATACCTCCCAACCACAGTTTCTCCTCCCTCCACTCTTCCCAGTTCCCCTGGTATCTCACCTGTCCCCTAGATCCACTCCCCTTCCATTTACCTCCAAGAGACCAAAACCAAACACCAAGCTAACAACCATACATAGAGACCTGGTATCTCTACCTTTATTTTCTCTTGCTTCTGTTTTAAGATATTTCAGAATCACTAATCTGCCCTACCCACCAGGCAACATGGTCAACATCGTCTATTCATTCATAACCTACCTTTGCCCTTCTCACCTGTCAATGCCTTCACTTTGGATAGGATGACTCGCTCTTACACAACTCCACTAGCATTTTAAGAACAATTCTTAGCAACTTCATATCATATTCTCATAGGCAACATCCTCTCCTACCTGAGTTCCAGATGAGGTGTTCTACAACAGCCACCTGGAAGGAACTACAAGGGTAACCACATCTCTGCACACACACAGTAACAGAGGTGTTCCCACTAAGACAGTATCTTAGTAGCATATTGTACACCAGGCCCAACTGCTCTCTCAATAACGCCACAGCAGCTTACCTTGTAGAAGATTGATTCTGCAGTAATTATGGTTGAGACCGACTCAGGAGCTTTGATAGGCTAAAAGAAAACAAAAGTAAAAATATTTGTGTATCTATATAGCATGCATGGGCAGTTCCCCAACCATATGAGAACTGGGTTATTTGAGAAAAATAAAACACTGTCATTTGGTGACAGAAACAGCAGGAGAAATCTCTGACAGGGGTGAGGGTACATATGCAATCCTAGTACTTGGAAACCTGCTGGAGGAGGATGGCGAGCTTTAAACCAGTCTGGGTTATATAGCAAGAGTGTGTGTACACACACACACACACACACACACACACACATACTTGCACAAAAGAAGAAAAAGACTTCCTGAATGTTGATGAGAAGCAGCTGAATACTTGCAATTCTATTTGTTACTAATGATTTAAAAGGTGCTGAAGAGGTAAAATTTCTGATTATGCTGCTAAAAGCTAACAGAGAGCTCTTTCAGAGTTCTAGTAGGCATTAACATTACAATTACAGAGACACACTGGCACAACAGGGCGGAAATTATAAATATGTATAGATGAATATAAAGTGAAAAATTTTAATTCTGTTACAAGCCTTAACTCTTTGGCGTTCTTAGCAATTTGCTACATTGCACTATCACTAAAATACCTTTTTAAAACTGCAATGCAAATTTCACCACAACATAAAAAAATGACATCTCCCATGATTTTGTGTCATTCTTGAAGAATGAAGATGCAGAGAAATTAATGATGAAATAACTTGAGAACAAAGGCTGAATACTTACAAAGAAAATATGTCTGGTATATGTTAACATGTTTTGACTACTCAAAAACAAACTTAGTTTTAGAAAACTAAATTATATAAATCTTAGACTATAAAAACCATTATTTTGATTAAGAAAACAGTCACTGGCTGAGAGCTGGTGTATCAGCACTTGCCCTGCAAGCCTGACAGCCTGAGGTGGACACTAGAATCCAGCGGAAGGAAGGAGTGAACCAGCTCCTGAAATCTGTCCTCTGATCTCCAGGTATGTACCATGGCATATACACCTGCATGCATATGCAGGCCTGGAAAGAAGGCTCAGTGCTTAAGTACTTGTTTCTCTTGCAGAGGACCTAAGTTCAGTCCCTAGCACCCCAATGGTAGCTCACACAACTGCCTATAATTCTAGGGCCAAGGGATCTGACACTAGCCTTTGAGGGTGCTTGGTATATACATGCAAGCAGAGCATTCATACACACAGAATAAAAATAAATATCTAAACAAGCGTCTACAGGGCAGGCCCCTCTGTTTTATAAATATGTCTACTTTAGGAATGTGTGAAGCATACTTGTTCTGAAAGTAATACCAAACTGAGATTAAACCAAACCTACAATTGTCTCCTATGTACAGAAATAAACTAGCACAACAAACGTCCCTAGCGTGCGACTTTAAACAATCTGCAGACATCAGGGTAAGAAAAAAAACTGGGGACGGAAGAGATGGCTCCGCAGTTAAGAGCACTGACCGGCTTTCCAGAGGTTCTGAGTTCAATCCCCAGCAACCATATGGTGGCAAACAACCATCTATAATGAGATCTGCTGTCCTCTTCTGGCATGCAAACATACATGCAGACAGAACACTATATATAATAAATAAATAAAATCTTTAAAAAAAAAGAAAAATATCTGGATTCATATCCACCAAGTTCATCACGAACCAACGGATAAGTTTTCTGGGGCTATTATAACAAGCATGATACTGATGAATTCTGTTATTTGCTTAGCTCTTTAAAAGACAGAAAAAAGTTTTCTTAGTTAACTATGCAGCAAGAGTCATAACCTAATTTAATATATTAAAAAAAGAATTTTAATCTCTTTTTTTGCGTAGAGAATGTGACAAATTGATATACTCTGAGATAAACTATACAGTATTTCTTAGACTTATATTTTATATTTTCCAGATGAAAAAGTAAAAGCTGGAAAAAACAGAGAAAGTGCTTTTCTAATGTTATAAATAGCAGGCTTCTTAAACAGAGTTCATCTTTTGGAGAACCTCACCTTTGCTGCCCCAGAGTATTGCAGAAGGGCCCACGTTCAACGAGGAATAGAGAAAGCAGCGGCAAAGCACACCACACACAATGTCCTACAGTAAACACACCATCCACAATCATCTTACGTTTTTTAATTTAAAAATATGCCTTCTCCCTTTTCCTTTAGTGGAAACTTTCTTCTCAGCCGCTGGAGCAGATTTGTATTTGGTGTTTCTGAGCCGAGCAGATCTTCTGTGAATTTCTTGCTTACTCTGTTACATAATTTTGAGAAAAAATAATTAAAACTATTCAAGAAAAGCCAACACAATAATTTCACAAAGATCAAAGGATGCACTTTGTCAAAAATACTTTTAAAATCTGAAGGCAAAGATGAGTAAAACCTCTGAAGGACCTCCCAAGAGGTGGCGCTGCTTACCAGAGAGAAAAGGACAGGAGTGGGTGGAGGCCAAAGCGGGAACGGACTATCACGTAGCAAAAATACCGAATTTACGGCCCCGCCACCCCAGAAGTTTGCCACATATCTCACACCAGAATTCTAATGCTTTCATTTTAAACGACCTAATAATTGATTAATAACATAATGACAGGGATTTAACAAGCAAGAGGCCCTGGCCCACAACCCTGTGGCCTATGGCATAGCGCGCTGCTCATTTGTCGCGCACCGTCCGGTCGAGCGGGCAGTGCGGGCAGAGGGGCGGGAGCTCACCTGCTTGCCGCCCCCGCCGCCGTTGCTCTGCGGAGGGCCGGCCGAAGTGCTGGCGAGGGTGGCCGAGCCGAAGGCGCCGGCGACCCCGGTCCCGCCCGCCGCCCCCGCTACGCCGCCCCCGCTGCCCCGGCCCGTGCAGTGGTGACAGAGGATGTCGCCCTGCGGACTCTTCTTCCACATAGAGGACGACGTGGTCTTGCACACGCTGCAAGTGGGCTTCAGGCCCAGCGGCATGGCGGCCGGCTCGGGCGGCCCCCGCGGGCGGAGCGACACGGGAATGGCGGTCGTCGGCACCGACCGCCCAGGGGTCGGCCCGCCACCCCGGCGCCTGGACGAGCGGGAGAGGCAAGGTCTGCGGTGCTGTGGCGCCCGCACCGGTGTCCAGCGGCCGCCGCTGCCCCCAGCAAGCGGGAAGCGGGCTAGGGCAGCCCGGGACCCAGCCCTGGCGCTGGGCCGCCCGCGGGGGACGCAGGCCCGGTACTCGGCCTGACCTCCCGGGAAAGCCAGCTCTGGTCAGACGGTGGACCCCGGGGTGGACGGGGCAGCAGGCACAGCAAAGCCCGACCTCCGCCCACGGGCGCTTCCGGCGGCGGGCGGAGCTTCCGGCGACGAGCTGGGCTCCCGGGCGGGGCGGGGCGGGACCAGGTAGGTCGGTGTAGCCGACCTAAGCCTTCAGGCTGAAAGTGGCGTTGCCATTACCTGTCATTCACTCTTCTAGTGGGGAAAATGTAAGATTTCCTGTTAAAGGTGAACCTCAAGTGAACAACAACTAATTTTTTTTTTTTTAGTGAGAGTAGCCCACAAAATAATTGTTATCTGAGACTCAAATTTACCTGAGTATTCTGTTTCTGTCTGATAAATTAAATCGTCTTGATCAGGACCCTTTTACATGCTTATTTATTTATTTATTTATTTATTTATTTATTTATTTATTTATTCTTGTTACTTCGGAGGCTGGGGAGGTAACTGGATAGGTAAATTTCTTCTGGACCAAGTGTATGGCCCTGAGTTTGGTCCCCAGTACCCACATAAACAGCTAGGTGGCTAAGAATAGAGCCAGTATTAGCACCTACTCCATCTAAGAGACAGTTTTATCACTTGACATTCCCAATCTAGGAACACTGAGACTGGGAAGAACTGGGAGACATGAGATTAACTTGTCAATGACTTGTTTTACTTGGGTCAATGCCGTGCCCTGAATACTGTATGGGAGGAGTCTATTAGTCAGGACATCAATAGATTTAGAAATTAGCAATGTACAGAGAAGTATTCCTATCAGTTTTTCTCATAAATTACAATACTCTAATTAAACATTATCACAATTTTGTGTGACACAGTCAGGTTCAGAGGCGGGACAGTTGTATCATTTATGTCTTAGCATAGGCTTTACTTATTTGCATAATGAAAAAGCAACACACCAACTCTCCTAACATTTAAAATGATATATACTAGCATAAATGTTTTCAAAGACGATTACTGGAGAGATTACATTGAGTAATTGCTATAATGATTTATATTATATCTTTTTTTCTCGGACTTTGGTTTGAGGAACTAGACACATATAAGTCTTGATTTGAATCATTGCAAAACTAACAATTCTTTGGGATAGTCATTAGCAAAACCAGACTGTAAAAGAGATTTTGATTAGTGTGAGATAAAAAGCCGAAGCATTGGCTATGATTGTTGAAGTCTAAAGCTCCCTGGTAAACAAGCCCAAGGAATGCGGAAAAACATCGGTACTGGATACAGGGAAATAAAAACTTGATTGAGTTAACTAAATTTTTTGGTGGTGTTCTGTTGTTTTGTGTGTGGTATATGTAAACATGTTCATCTGTGTATTCACATGGGTATGAACACATACATGTGTGTACATGTATGAGCATGTGTGTGGAGGCTAGAGGTTCACATTGATGGGGGGGGGGTCCTTCCTCACTCACTTTCCACCTTCTTTTTTTTTTCCTGAAAACCTTTCCCTGAACTTAAGGCTTACAATTAGCCTAGACAGGCTTAACCAGCAAGCCACAGGAACCCTTCCGTCTAATCGTTGTGTTTGGCCTTTAACATGGATGCTGGGAATTCAGATCCAAGCCCTCAAGCTTTCATGGCAAGCAATCTCCCTGGGCCCTTTTTGGGGGTGGGGGCGGGGACATGATCTCACTATCCCAGGCTGTTCTGGCATACACTGTATAGTCCAGTGTCCTGGAGTAAATGGAGTGGTTCTCATAGTAGATAAGAGAATGATGCTCTGCCGAGGGGACAGAGGTTCTGTGACCTGCCGGGAGATTACCCAGTGTCTCAGCAGGAGGTTGGAGTTTTAATTCTATGATTTATTTCCCACGACTCACACTTGACTACATAGACAGTAATTTGTTTTTTTCCTTTCTATTATTCTTCTCTCACACAATGTACCCTGACCCCAACCTCCCCTCCCTTCTCTCCTGGATCCACTAATCCTCCATTTCCCTTCAGAAAAGAACAGGCCTCCCGGTGATACCAACTGAACAAAGCATAAGATGATGCAGTAAGATAGGTACAAACCCTCAGGTCAAGACTGGGCAAGGCAACCCAACAGAAGAAAAAGGTTCCCAAGAGCAGGCAAAAAGAGATACCCCAACTCTCGCTATTAGGAGTCCCACAGAAACCCCAAGCTAAACAACTGCAACATATATGCAAAACCCACACAGGCTCCATGAGTGCACGAAGGAAATCCAATTAACATGATTTAGTTAGCCAGCATTGGTTCAGACTTCTATAGTCTGATCCTGCCAGTTTATTTTAGCTGTATTTAAGCAAAGCACCATTTTAGAAAAACATTTCATGATGATAATTAACTCTTTCCCATGTGTACAATGAAGCTTAAAGATGTGTTTACACTGACACCGAAAAGTACACATGGCCTCATCCATAAAGATGGGTTCTGTTGGCTCAGAAACAATGCTTGAGATAAGAGTCTAGGGAGAATGACCAGGGAAAACCCCATCTGACTGTACAGATTACATAGAGTACACGTGACATCTCCCATAAGGATGAGTTGTATGGACTGAGAAGCAGTGCTCAATTCAAGAGAGGAAGGGTCTTGAATGAACAAGCATAATAGTCTGGGGGATTCCGGTGAGGGCTGGCACCACAGATAGCAAAGATTGCCAGGTTATTAGCCACATCCATTCTTAACTTTCCGAGCAGAAACAGATATCTTTTTCACAGAAGAGATAATGCTGTGTTTAACATCCCTAGTTTCCCTAGTGCTTATCTGTGAACACAAGGACCTTGTACTCTCTATAGGCTTGATGCAGTGGTGTGTGCTTCTATTTCCCATGCAGTGGAAACAAGAGAGAGGGGCTCACTTGGTGCTTGAGGTCAGGCCAGTCTAACTGAATCTGGGAATTCCTGTTTGGGTGAAAGACCTATCTCAAACATGAGGTGGAAAGTGAATGACAAAGACCTAATGTCAACTTCTGCCCCCATGCACATCTATATAAAAATTGATACATTTTAAAACCCAAGGCGTAAGTATACATTCATCAGCCATGGGATAGCATAACTTATAGCCTCTGAACAGAATGCCAGTGACAGAAAGAGAATGAAAAGACCAGATAACTGAGAGCATTGTTGAAAAATAGCTCTGATTCTGAGGACATCCTGAAAGGATCTTGAGAAGTAGGTGGGCAACACTCAAGAACAATCAGGTGGCCTTGTCAACGCCTCTTTGAAAAGCCAGATAGGCCTTATGAATATCTGTAGTCAAGGCCTTGCTGGGGAAAAGGCGTTTTGTTTCAAGCACTTAGATTTCCTAGACTTGGCATACTTGGAGTGCCCTTGCTAACTATGCTGGGTCAAAAGAAACACGCATTCCATAACTACAATGTCACGGTCTTATTTTGAGCCTATGGTTACCTTGAAGTGGGATATTATCCTTATTTATTATTAACTAATGGTAGATATCTGGGCTGGCTTCCATCACATCTGTACTCTGGGTTCCCCTACTGGGAAGAGCTTCAGAACCAGTAAGTGCTGTGGTTCAGTTACCCAGGCTGTAGGAATAGATTTCCCTGATAGTAAACCAAAATACTATAAAAGTGGTAGAAAAGAATGGGTAAAGTGTGATATCATTCTAGGCCAAGGCTGAAGGGGTTCAGAAGAGTTTATCCCCCAAAATGCTATTTTAGAGCAGTGAGCTACATGGAGCATCTTTTCATCTGAATGCAACGGAGCAACAAGACGTGCAAGGAAAGCTTCAAATGGCTCCTTGACCTTTCACTTGCTGACCAGAGCAGTGAGTGAAAACTGCCGTGTAAACGATGCCTTCTTTGGTCCAGAAGAGATGAATGTCTGCATCCTTACTACCATGTGGACAGAGTCCCAACTAGTCCACAAGCAAAACCTAACTAAAACTTGGAAGCCTTATCTTCCACTAGTGCCCTGTACACTTTCTAGTCACATCCTGACAGTTTGCTAGTCACGCCTTGATTGTTGCTTCCCCATGATTTATCAATTTATCATGCTTTGTTTAAAAAGCTTATAAGCTTTGGGGCCTTACAGTTCTATCCTTTTTTTCTTTTCATTCCATTCACTTACGCTTCCAGAAACCCACCCCCTGCTCCTCTCCTCCAACTCCTCCCAACAATCTCTCTCTCTCTCTCTCTCTCTCTCTCTCTCTCTCTCTCTCTTTCTCTCTCCCCGTTCACTTCCCCGTAGTCCAATTATTGCTGTTCGTATGTGTAAAGGTGTATGAGCAACCTACCAGTGAGGATGCCTCTAAAGAGAAATGTCTTCCTTTCTCAGCAGCCATCAACTGTCAAGAGTTCCTCAGCTAGGAGTGGACGCGTGGGAATGCTGCCAGCCTTGACCTTGTGCAGGTGACCACAGCTCCTGTGAATTCATGAGTGTGATGACTGTGTCACATCCAGGAGGCTGCATTGCACAGCATGCTTCCCCATCCTTAGGCCTTCATATTCTTTCCACCTCCTCTTTTTTATGTTCTCTGAGCCTTAGTTTGGGGCTTACCACATATTGTCACTTATTCTCAGCATGTCAACTAGTCATGAGTTTACTGCTGCACTCTGAAAAATGAAGCCTCTCTGACCAAGACTGAGGATGGCACAAACCTATGTGTATACACATAAATATTTATAAGGCAGTTTGACAACATGACTTTAAGCAAAACAACAATGGTAGGTCTCCTTTAATGGTCTTGAATACAGTTCTTAGTCTTTAGAACTGTAGCAATAATTTGCCATTTACAATTGTTGTCAACACAGCTGGCCACGGAAGTGGACTCCTTTTATATACCTTTTTGTATCGTTTCATATGTTTTCTCAACACATACATGCATTGTTTTCATTTGGAAACAATGGAAAGAATTGTTTGGGAGATAGTACAGTCAGTACAGTGCTGGCTGCACAAACATAGGGACCACAGCAAGTTGGGCATTGTGCATGCTTGTAATAGCAATGCAGTGCAGGTAGACATAGGTGGATCCCTAGGGCTCACTGACCAGCCAGTCTGGCCTAATCAGTGAGTCCAATATCCCTGTGCTACCAAATAGGGAGGGCAGCTCCTGAAGATTGAAATCAGAAGTTAACCTCTGG